GCATCAAAAATAATCAGGGGTACTTAGCAAAATGCAATTGTGTTAAAATTTACTTCACTCACCTGTTTCCTCAAAAACGTTTATTAATTCCTTTGAACACACCTGTTTTAAGAAAATTTACACAACAATTTAGAAATCCATTTATCAAGTAAAATTAAAATTAATTTCCTTCCTTCCTTTTTTTAATAAAAGAAAGCATGTATCTCCCCAGAAAGCTCTAAGGTCAGACATGTCTTATAGGAATTCTACCAAACCTTTATGGAAAACATACTGCTATTGTTACATAAACTGTTCCAGAGCCCATTAGCAGAGAGAAAGCTGACAAATGCCTTTTATAAATCAAGTATAATATTGATACCAACTAACCAGTCTCACTTGACATCAGTGCAAAAGAATCAAATGAAATACTACAAGAAGCACATAAAAAGACTAATAAATCACAATCAAGTAGAGTTTATTTCATGAGTGCAAAATGATTCAACATTATGAAATCTAACATAATTCAACAATCTGAGGAGAAAAATCATCTCTATTTGCAAAAAAAAAATATCCAATAATATTCATTCTTAAAAAACTTAATAAAATGGAATAGACATTTTCTTAATACCATGAAATACAACTATTGCAATCCAAAAGCCAGCATCCCACATAATAAACACTGGAAGTACTCCCACTAAAATAAGGAATAAAAAAAAGATGTGCACTATTGGGACTTTTAACCTTGTTTTTGAGTTATATTAGCCAATATAATTAGAAAAAAGAAAAATTAGAACTATAAAAAGTAGAAGAGAAGAATTAAAATTATATTTGCAGATGATGTTTATTTACTACCAAAACCCAAGAGAATCAACTGAAAAATTACTGCACATAATAAGGGAACACGGTAAGCTCTCTAGATAGAAAAGAACTGGATGATGGTTGGGTGTGGTGGCTCACACTTATAATCCTAGCACTTTCGGAGGTCAAGGCAGGAGGATCACTTGAGGCAAGAAGTTCGAGACCAGCCTGAGCAAGAGCAAGACTCCATCTCTACAAAAAATAGAAAACTTAGCAGCTACTTGGGAGGCTGATGCAGGACGATTGCTTAAGCCCAGAAGTTTGAGGTTGCAGTGAGCTACGATGATGCCATTGCACTGTAGCCAGGGTGACAGAGCAAGACTCAGTCTCAAGAGAAAAAAACAAACAAAAAAAAGACATCATGATACTGGCCCCAGAACAAATAGATGAATCAATGTAAAAGAAAGGGAAGTTCAGGACTATATCCAAACACACATTAAGATTTTGTATCTCATAAACGCAGAATTTCCTATCAGTGGAAAACAGATTATTTAATAAATGGTTAAAAGCATCTGGGGAAAATTGGCCCTATTCCTTTTACCAAAATATATCCTAGACAAATCAATAATATTAACTAGAAAATAATATTAAGTAAAAAGTTTTAATCTCAAAGGACTTTCAATGTATAACAATCTTCAGAAGCCGCACATAAAAGGACTGATAAATCTGATAACAGAAAAATAAAAAATGTTTGCAAGTCTATCTGACTACAGTGTGTGTGCATTCTACAATTGTCGTACAGGTTGAGGATCCTAAATCCAAAAATCTGAAATCTTGAAATGCTTCAAAATCCAAAACTTTTTGAACACCAACATGAAACTCAAAGGAAATGCTCATTGGAACATTTCAGATTTTGGATTTTTGGATTTGGAATGCTGAACTAGTAGGTATAATGCAAATATTCCAAAATTAGAAAAAATCTGAAATCTGAAACACTTGTGGGAGCAAGCTGTTCAGAAAAAGAATACTCAACCTGCACAAGCAATTTTTTTTTTTTTTTTGAGACAGAGTCTCACTGTGTTGTCCGGGCTAGAGTGAGTGCCGTGGCGTCAGCCTAGCTCACAGCAACCTCAAATTCCTGGGCTCAAGCGATCCTCCTGCCTCAGCCTCCCGAGTAGCTGGGACAACAGGCATGTGCCACCATGCCCAGCTAATTTTTTCTATATATTTTTAGTTGTCCAATTAATTTCTTTCTAATTTTAGTAGAGACGGGGTCTCACTCTTGCTCAGGCTGGTTTCGAACTCCTGAGCTCAAACAATCCGCCCGCCTCGGCCTCCCAGAGAGCTAGGATTACAGGCGTGAGCCACCACGCCCGGCCCACAAGCAATTTTTTTATTGTTAAAATGCTAAAAACAACATTTAGAAAATAAAAATCACAAATAAGTCCAATGGACACTATACTTTTCTTACATATTCACACCATTGTAGAGCTGTCTTTTTTTAAATGGCATATTATAATCTGGTGACCTAGTTTTGTATTTAGTAAAGTACTATGGTCTTTTGTCCATATCATTAAACATACTTTTTTAAACAAGATGAGATCATACTATGTCATCCAGGCTGGAGTGCGATGGCTATTCACAGGTGCAATTACAGCACACAATAGCCTCGAACTCCTGGATTCAAGCAATCCTCCTGCTTTGGCCTCCCAAGTCCAGGGACTACAAACATACATCCCCACGTCCAGCTTAAACATACTTTTAAAACAAAACAGGACAATGTCTGCATGGAATGCTGAGAAACTGTTGAAACTGGGTAACTGGTACATGGGGGTACACTATACTAGTCTGTCTACCATTTAATATGTTTGAAATTTTTCATATTAAAAAGTTAATCCCAAAAAAATCTGCATGAGAAAAAAAAATGACAAGCTGGGAAAAAAATACCTGCAGCTCATTATCACAGACATATATATAACTGAAGTTTCCAGATCTATAAGAAAAATATCAACCCAAAATGAAAAATAGGTAAAGAATATAAAAAGTCATTTCACAGAAAAAGAAATATACACGGCTCTTAAGCATATGAAAATGTTTAATCTTACCCATAACTAGAGCAATTAAAACTATTCTTGTATATACTATTTTTTACCTACCAAATATATGAAAGTATACTTGCTCTGCATCTACTATCACCCAAGAACTACTTTTCCTTTGAGAACATAGATTTTAAATTGACTTTTCCATAATGTAGTTACAAATTATGGTGAGCACCAGAAACCAAAACAAGAGAGTACTAGGAAACCTACAACACAGTAGCTGGTAACTGATTCTTCATGGTCTGGCCAGACTTCCCGGAGGTAGTGATGTCTGAGCTAAAGAAATCTATGTTTTTTTCAAGGGAATGCCTCACACAGAAGGGACAGCAAATGAAATGCCTGGGACATGAAGGATTACAGTGGATTCGAGAAACTGAAAGATGGCCAATGTGGCTAGAAAGTAAGGCAGAAACTAGCACAAAATGAGACAACACACAGAAAAGGGCCCAACAATATAGGGCTTTAGAGGCTCTGGGTTTATTCCTAAGAGCAATAGGAAGTTTTAAGCATTAGAATGATAATATTACTATTATCTTTCAAACATCTGGAAACCTGTTCAGAGAGGTAAAGTATCTTGGCCACGGTCCCATAGCTACTAGGTGGTACAGCCAAGATCCAGATGTGTATAATGTTTTTGGCCTTATTTTTAGCCACTGTCACAGAGCTGGGTTTCCTGATTAATGTCCATCAATTTCCAGCTAGAACTGGTTGAAAGTGATAAACCAAAACTTGTTTTACCTAGATTACTTATGATGAAATGTGTCAGAACAATCTGAATATATATCTAAAAGTTGGAAGAATCTAAAGGAAAAAATAGGAACAGGTGTGTTTCAATATGGCCATCTTTCTTACTTAATGACTCTATCTTACCTCAGAGGTATATTCTTGACAATCATCTTTTGAAGTGAGCGAAGTTTTTTTGGCAGGAGGAATATCATCACTTTCAAGACTGTAATGAAATCTCTTCTTGGATTTAAGATCCAAATTAGCAGGAGGCTTTTCAGAACCATCTTTTCCAGAATTAGATAAACACATGGTATCTTGACCAACTGAAGTTACTGGTAAACAAATACTGCATAGAAAGTAAATACATATTAAATCAGTGAGCTAGTCCAATAAAAAAATTCCAATAAAACCAAAAAATTCCAATAAAACCAAAAAAACTCGAAGCTAACTTATACATGGACATGTTCATAAAAATTGTAGTTTTGAGTTCCATTCATACTTAAAAGGCTCACAGCTTAAATTCCATAATATTGAATTAAATCTGAGGTATATAAAGTGTTTTCCTTGTCTGTAAAGTTAAGCTTTTAATCTAAAATATCCCTTCCTAATATAAAAGGCTCTAATTTCTGATGCCACTTTATAGACAATTAAGTGCCTTAAGCAATGCAAGTTAAAATACAACTTAACCCTTCTACGATAAAGAGTATCAAGAATATATAAAAATGTTATTTCTTTGTACTATTTTTTACAACTTTCTGTGAATATATAGTTCAGTCTTTTTTATGTGTTTATATGCATATGTGTTTACAAAGTAACCATACATTTTACAGATGCCATTTTATTTCCAGACTGATAATTTTTTTTTTTTCTGTGACAGGGTCTTGTTCTGTCACCCAGGTTAAAGTGCAGTGACCAGACCATAGCTCACTGCAGCCTCAAACTCCTCAACTCAAGCCATCCTCCTGCCTCAGCCTCCTAAGTAGCTGGAACTACACGCAGATGCCACCATATTCAGCTAATTTTTTTTTTTCTGGAGACAAGGTCTCACTCTGTTGCTGGGGCTAGAGTGCAGTGGCGTCATCATATCTGACTGCAACCTCGAACTCCTGGGCTCCAGTGATCCTCCTGCCTCACCTCCCGCAGTACCATGCACAGCTACTTTTCATAGAGATGGGGGTCTCCCTCTTGCTCAGGCTGGTCCAGTACTCCTGGCCTCAAGCAATCCTCCTGCCTTGGCCTCCCAAAGTGCTGGGATTACAGGCATTAGCCACTGCACCTGGACCAGACTGCTAAATAATTTTAGCTTTAAAAATAAAATATCAAAGAAGTTTCATACAGAAGTAGTATTATATTAAACACTTTTTTTAAGAGACAGGGTCTTGCTCTATCACTAAGGCTGAAGTACAGTAGCATGATCATAGCTCACCATACCCTCAAACTCCTGGCCTCTCAAGTAGCTAGGACTACAGGCACTCGCCACCGCACCGGCAAATTTTTTAAATTTTTTATAGACACAAGGTCTCACTGTGTTGCTCAGCTGGTCGCAAACTCCAGGCTTCAAGCAATCTTCCTACCTTGGCCTTACATAGTGCTGGGATTACAGGTGTGAGTCACCATGCCCAGCCATATTGACCATTTAAATAGCACCTTTATCAAATACAAAAATCAACCACATTACACTTCTTCTCTAAGTTACCACATAAATACCAAATAAGATCTCCACAACAATTACAAATAATGTTGGTGAATGGTTTGTTCTATTAATACTACTCGATTCATAAAGTACCTTTCCTGCTGGGAAAAACAGTTTAACTCATTCATTACCTCATGTCACCCCTTTCTTCGGTATTCACTGATTTGACCAATATGGGTGCTGGCAGTAAAGCGTTTGGCATTAACTGTGCAGCGGCATCTGTAAATTCTTCTACTGCATTGGTTGGGATTTCCACCAGAGTTAAAATGAATGCTTGTTCATCCTCTTCCTCTTGATGTACATTAGCAACTAGATTCACTATCAAAGTTTAAAAATTAGTAATGAAAAGGTAAACTGTGAAATTAAAAAATCATTGATTTATTTCATTTATATACAGTGTCAGAACTCATCAATAAGATTAAATAAATTATACCAAAAAAAGTAATTTCATAAAGGATAAAGATAGACTATGCAGAGGATTTATAACTCTGAATACCAAAACTGGTACACAAAATATTTAAAGGTTTTTTAAAGTTTAAGGCTACCCTAGACTAAAAAAACTGTTTTGTGTTTTTCTATAATTAAATGGGACATAAAAATCATACTAGCAGGTTCTATGACACTTCATTGAAGCAGATTATCATACCTGTTAGGTCTTGAGGGTTGATTACATTCTCTTCTTGGACTTCTGGAATACTGGTTGGTGTACACTGCCATAAAAAAATCAAAATGAAACAGTGAAGTTGGCCAAATCTCAATTTTAAAAAGTCTTCCTGACAACATGATACAGGGAAGTGATCTTATTTCAAAACTCACACTTATCTAACCATATATAACTGTCAAGTGTTTTGAAGCTTTTAGTCATGCCAATAAACTTTTGATTCATTTAAATAAACATAAATACAAAGAATTCTCACTACATCATTAAATATGTGTATTTTATGAAATGATTTTTGAAGTGACAGGATAAGGAGATCCAAGTCCTCAACCTTCTCTCTACTCCTATCACACCAGCCACTGTACCATTCATTAGTAGGTGACATTTCTTTCAATGGAGGCAAACTGCTCTCCTTGCCTTGAGTATGGTTCCTTCCAATCTGTTTTCCACAAAACTGCAAACACTGTATTTTCTAAAATGCAATCCTGATGGTAATTCTCTACTGCTTAATAACTTAAAACTTTCATTTTGCAACCAAAATGCCAATGTCAATAATTGATTCAGGCAAGAATCACCAATGGATACTGTAACTATTGGGTGACACGTTGCTGGGTCTCATTTGACAAATTACTTATTCATACAAGTGACATTATAATGGAGAAATCTGGCAGGCACCATTCTGGCCAAGTGATCAGTCAGCATTACCAGCAATGGGAAAAACTGATATATGTATCTCCTGATGAGATGTAAAAGGAAGACCACATCATTACCTATGTAGTAATCGTGAATCCAGTAATGAGGAAGCAATGAAAAGAACTCTAAACTGTGGACCAGCTTAGACTCATCTAAAATATCAAGTTCACAAAAGAAGGAAAAGGCAGGAGAAATATTCTAGATTAAAGGAAAGTAAAGAGAAATGACAACTAAATGCAATGTGCGAAACTTGACTGGATCCTGAATTTAAAAGACCTATAACGGACATGATTGGGCCAACTGTGGAAATTTGAATGGGAACTGTATATTATATAATGATATTGAAACAATGTTAATAATATGTTAACACTTATTGTGACAATAGTTTGTCACTTCTCTGTAAGAGAATGTCCTTTTTCTTATTAGATACAAGATGATGGAGTATTTAGAAACAGAAGGCTCAGGTCTGCAATTTACTTTTGAATGGTTCGGTTTTTAAAAGTATCTATCTACCTATAGAGATCAGAGCAAAATGGAGAGAGAGAGAGAAAACAAATGAAGCAAAGTATTAACAATCAATGAGTCTAAGTAAAGGGTATGGGAGAATTCTTTTAAAGATTCTTGTAACTTTTCTCTTAAGTTTGAAATTATTTCAAAATAAAAGTAAAAATTAAAAAGGTGGGGGAGTGGGGATCTTATAACATTAGATGTAACCAAACTCCTTAGCATGTCGTAAAAATCCTTTTATAATCTGTCTGCAAGCTACCCTTCCAACTTCTTGATCTCTAACGTATTCTACTCATAACTACTTATAGTCACTGAACACGTCATGCTATTCTTTTCATGTTCCTCTCTCCCTGTAACTTGCTAATTTATACTTGTTCTTCAAGTTCAAGAATTCTCTCACCTGGGGAACTTTTTAAAAAAATCCTAATACCTAGGCCCCACTCCTAGAGATTCATTTAATTGGATGAGATCTGATTCCTACAGACTCTTGTGCAAATCGCTATTATAGCACATACCAAATTTAATTTAACCATTCACTCATTCGTCTCCCACAAATTTGTATCCTCAGTACCTAACAGTGTCAGACACATTGCATTAACATCTCCATAAACATATTCTGTGAATGAACTCCTCACATCCAGAGACTAAGAAGAGGTGAATTTTCTGTGTACAAAACACTTTCTTTTTCAAAGCTTTTACAACAAAGCTGGGTATTAGCTGTGTTATCTCTATGTTCTAGAGACTGAAAACACACTCAGTTAAAATTCTATCACAATATATTCTTGCAAAGTAAAAAAAAAACTACAGGGAAAGAAAACAGAACTGTGGTTGTCAGGGCTGAGGGTAGGGAGAGAGGGTGACTAAAAAAGGGCACCAGGGAATTAGAGGGTGATGTAACAGTATATATCTGGTTATATAGCTGTATATATTTGTAAAAATTTGTAGAACTGTACACTAAAAAAGGTGAAGGTATATTTTACGTAAATTATACCTTAATTTTTTTAAATGGGGAAAGAATGCCTTGCTGGCCCTTGTTATATTTTACATTCTTTTACCTCTGATACACTATCTCCTTTAGAGTCCTTTCTCAGGGGCTCTTCAACAGAACTCTCACCAAGAACCACATCCAAATCAAGTGTGTGGGGCCCTGTCTCAGAGGAAACAACTGGAGCAACTGACAATATCTGAACCTCTTGAGATCCTTCTTCTTGATCTTCATTTCTGAAAAAGAGTTTTAGCATGTTATTTGAAATCAGGCTAACAACACAGAATTATTTTTAGAGTTAGGTATTTCAAAGATCATCTAATTTGATCGTTTTCAAACTTTTAAAATATATTTAATGCAACAGTACTCCTTTTTCAAGCAACTTATTACATCTACAGTTTATGGCTATAGCTGAAACAGAATATAAAATGAATCTCAGAATCTCTTCCCTCTTTTACCTTTCAGTTAGGTTTACTTCTTGAGAAATACCGGTCCCTTTGATACCATGTACACATGCCAATTTGCTCTGCTCCTTAATCTCTTCTATTGTAACTGGTCCAAGGTTTTTATCTTCCAATTCTGTTGCTTCAGAAGCATTTTTCTCAGTTTCTTAAATAAAAAACACATTTAAGATATAGTCCAAAATAGTACAGCTAAAATGTCCATATTAGAAACATATTCTCTCTTAAAATATAGACCATTAGGCAGTGACTCGTCCAAACTTCTCTTAATCCAAAAATCAAGTTTATTCACATGGCAGAAGGTGGTCCTGGCCAATGATATTTTCGAACAGTAAAACAGATGATTCATAAATCCTCCACTGCAGATATTTCACTCCTATCTGCCATAGCAATTGTACCCCACCTCGTGCACTAATAATCAGAAACTCACGTAGAAAAGAAGTTTAGAGGTCGATACACACGAGGTCTGGCTAGTTCCACCTTAGAGGAAGTCTTGGGAAGGGGAGGGAGCTGTGTGGCAAAGAATAATGTCACAAGGGGTAGGAAAAAGACTTCCACATAAAAGAGATTTGAGCCTGCAGACTGAGAGAGCTTATGAAAAAAGTGATCTCTCACAGTTCTTGTGTATTTTTTGTGTTTATTGCAATGTCACAAACCTGAATACCACCACGGGACACACACAAAGCGCCACTAATGATGCTGGAAATTCTCCCAAGAAGCAGAGAGAAGTCATGACATAAAAAAAAAAAACGAATTTCTTGATATGTACTGCAGATTGAGGTCTGCAGCTGCAGTTGCCTACCACTGATCTTATTCATCTTATAAACTGACAACATAAACTTTAGGTATCAATAAATACAGTACAGTACAAATTTGTAAATGTATTTTATTTTCTCTTCTTTATGATTTTCTTAATAACATTCCTTTCTCTAGCTTACTTTACTATATAAATACAGTACACAGATATATATAACATACAAAATATGTGTTAATCAACTATGTTAATCAGTAAGGCTACTGGTTAACAGTAGGCTATCAGTAGTTAAGTTTTAGAGGAATCAAAAGTTATATACAGATTTTTGACTGCACAGAGGATCAGCACTCCTAGTTCAAGGGTCAACTATATATGGTGTGTATATAAAAAAGGAGAAATGATTTGATCAAATACAGCAAAACAGTACTAGTACTTGAACTAGTTGGTGGATTTATGAATATTCATAGCTCATTTTAATTTTTTGTATGTTTGAAACTTTTTTATAGTAAGTTAAAACAGTTTTAACAACTCAATATTACTTTGAAATGCTAATGGAATTTTTTGTGTCAAAGCAATTTTGTAACTTGTAAGAGAAAAATAAAATTTACCTCTTTGAGTGTCCACTTCTTCTCCTTTGGTTGCACACAAAATGGGAACTTCCTGATGAGCATCAAACCTGTTGGTCCCTAAAATCTTCTCAAGATTTGGTTTAGGCTTGGCAAATCTACTCATTCTCAAATTGTTCATTACCTTAGAAGCTTTACTCCTAGAAATAGAGACAGGGAGACAAATTTATCAACCATATAAGATCTTGCTCTCTCACATTGATACATTCTGTCTAGCACTGATACAGTTAACATGCCACCTGTCAGATGCCAAGTTATCTAAAAGTGTTCATTTATTTTTTATTTTTTTGAGACAGGATTTCGCTCTTCTACCCAGGCTAGAGTGCAATGACTTCATCATAGCTCACTGCAGCCTCAAACTCATGGGGCTCAAGTGATCCTCCCATCTCAGCCTCCTGAATAGCTGGGAGGTACAGGTACACGCCACCACACTCAGCTAAATTTCTTTTATTGTTTGTAGAAATGAGGCCTTGCCACATTACCCAGGCTGGTCTCGAACTCCTGGGCTCAAGTGATCCTCCCAACTCCGCCTCCCACAGTGCTGGGATTACAGGCGTGAGCCATCGCATCCAGACTAAAAGTGCTCATTTCTGAATGCTAAAATTATAAAGTAGTAACTTCACTAGAGGTCTTAAGAAGAGAATCCAGACCATGTTTGTAAAACAGAAAATATATTTATTTAAAACATAAATCTATTTCATTAAAGCTTCAAAGACATACAACATGTACTGTTATAATTTTAACATGCAAACCATTAATCTAAAACCAGAATCAGCCAATCTTTACTTTAAAGGGTAAGAAATTAGCATTGCCTACTTTACATTTGCATATGCATTTCTCAAAGCTAGTAACTAAATTGATGGTAGGTTTATTGTATTTATTAATTGAATACTAAAATAAACCTGGTTGATGTAGCATTCTCCTTTATTCTCTCCATTAAACCACTTTCTTCTCTAGTACTTTGTTCCTCCAGTACAATCTTGTTTTCTTCAAATGATGCAGAAAACGTACTAACAACAGGTGAAGAAAGCTCCTGACATTCATGAACAATTTCGTGATTTACGTTATCGGGGCCGAAAGGAATATGGCTTTGATCCTTTGAATGAACATGAGGAAGTACACATACTCCTACTGCAGGAAAAGAAACAGAAAATTTAAATTGGCCCAAAATAAATAGATATTCAAATGAAATAAATTCTTCAACTTTCAATAACTACAAAATTCTACATTATTGTAAAAGTTTCCTCATATGGCTCCAAATTTAAATTTATGATCTCGTATTTCATGCCAGTGATGAATTTAACAATTCTTACAGACTGAAACTTTGTGCTAAAAATGAGTAAAAATGAGTTCTTTTGTTACCTGAGTGTCTACATAACTTCAGACCACTTGCAAAATAGGAATGCCTTCATTTATAAACTATTAAAACCTATATTTTATGTTCTAGAAATTTGTGACAGGCTCCACTGCAACACTGTGCCATTGAGAAAGAAGCCCTATATGGAACACAAATCAGAGACTTTCCTGATAAATTTATGGTTATAAGCCTAAAAGTCAACACCTAAAATGAACAGCAAGCCACTCATCACCAGTCAAAATAAGTACCGATAACATAATTAGCATAATTATCCATTTAATGTAGTTAAAAGATACTAAAATAGTAAAGACCATAGTTTCTCTGTAAGTTCAGCCTAATATATATGAAAAATCTGGGTTAACATATCTTGTGGCTCCGTTCAAACTGTCAAAACAGTTTAAATTCTCAATAACTGCTATTGTCCTTTCATACTGTATTTGTCGTCTAATTGTAAAAACCATACCACGCAGCAACTCCTTTGCTAATGAAACACACATAAAATGATTAGTGATCAATGAGCTCAGTTAACCAATGATGTTTACGATGAAAAAGATAGAGGACTCACTAGATACACTATTCCATGAATATAAATTATTCTTAATAAATCAAGTGTATTATCTTGAATTAGCTGTCACTCCACCTAAATGGGTTAAGTAAAATAGTGGATGAACATACACATATTACCTTTTCTAGAAAAAAAAACAAAGTGATGACAACTTCAAATGTGAAAAGCTTATTACTCAAACGTAGGTATAATTTCTTAGAAGTTAGATTTTAAATTTCTATTTTTTGGTAGGACTTATCTTTCATTCTTACCATCACCCTGTTCAGGAGTGATCTCTGACTGCAATACTAGATCTCCCATAGTAAGTAAAGTTATGGCAGCTTCAGTGCTTCCATCATTGGTACCTTGTGAGGAAATACACCAAC